AACAAGCCCTCTTCTTGAAGTGCTTAATTTTACTGGAGGTTGGGGAGTAGGAACAGACATCACCTATACTAAGTAAATTCAAAGTAATATACTAATTTTGGTCTGGGAGAAACACTAGTACCAACGGAGAGTGTGGGGGAATCACATCAGGAAAGTGGTACTTGAGCTGAGCCTCAAAGGGGACCACGGGGTCCAAGGGTTGTATGGAAGAAAGGACAACCTTACGGACACAGAAGCCATGCTGTACAGAGGCACAGAAATTCGGGATGGAATATCATATACAAGGAACAAACAGCAAGAAGGCCAATTTGACCTGAAGGCCTTACGTGATAGGAAGTCATGCTATCATCAGCTGAAGTCAAATTGTGAAGGGTTTTACTAGTGAATGTCAGAGGCAGGATTTGAACTCACAGTTTTTCAGTATTCTTTTGCTCTATCTTATAGTGTCCCTCTAACTGTCCTCCAGTGAGTAGACATACTACTGTAAAAACTTAACCATGTCTATTTTGAACTTTCTCCTTAATGATCAATATTGATTACATGAATTTGGAAAATCTCAACTAGTACCTTGAATATTATCTTGGAGGAATTAAATCAGTCATGTTTTATTAAGTGCCTCCTATGTACCCAACAAAAACTAAAGGTTAGAACAGTTAGGTCCCAGCCATCAACTACCTTACCTTCTAAAGGAAGAGCCAAAACATGCAAACAACACATTTACAAGGTAACCTTTGTGGGGGAGGTACCAGTATCTGGGGCACTGGGAAAGACCTCATGAAGAAGGAGTCTTTAGGGAAAGTGGGCATTCCAAAAGGTGGAGAGGAGGAGGAAGAACATTCTAAGTAGGAGGTTCTGGAGTTGGAGAATGTAGTGTTGTGTCTGAAGAATAACAGGATAGCCCGTGTGGCTGGATTGTAGACTATGAAAGAAGAAAAAAAAAAACTATGTATAAGAAAACCGGAAGGGAAGGATATGGCCGGTTTTAAGTATCAAGAGCTTTAAATGTAAAACAGAGTTTATATTTTATTTTAGAGATAATCGGGAGCCATTTGAGTTTATTGAGCAGAGGAAGGCATGATGATGCCTGTAATTTAAGAAAATTACTTTGGTGGCTGTGCAAAAGAGAGATTGAATGGAGAAATAGATTTCAAGGAAATTAGAAAACTATTGAAATAGTCCATACTTTGAATGGTGAGGGCCTGAATTAGAATGTTAACTGTGAGTGGGGTAAAGGATGAATTCAAGAGATGGAGAGAGAAACAATGAAATATGGCAACCCTGATATATGTGGGATGAGAAGGAGTAAGGAGTGGAGGATTACAGTGAGGTTGTACACCTGGATGATTGGAAGAATTAGTGATGCCCTTTAGCTTTTAAATCCTTACACATCCCATGGCCCCTCCTGTCTTTTCAGTCTCATTGAATGTCACCCCCCCCCCCCCCACATACACATACTGCAGTCCAGGCTTCCATGCCTAAAATGCATTCCCTCCTTCCTTCTGCCTCATATAACCCTTTATAATTCCTTTAAGATACAGCTTGGGCGCTATTTTCTATGTTCAGCTTTTTCTGACTTCCCCCAGCTTTTAGTGCTCTCCCTTCCAAATTACTTTGTATTTAACTACTTTATGTACAGTTGTATTTATTCACTTTATATTTATGGTGTGTGTATATGCACGTGCGTGCATGCACTTCTCTCCCTTATTAGAATGTAAGCCCTTCAAGAAAAGATAGTACTTCATTCTTTGTACTTGTATCCTTAGTGCCTGTACTTGGCACGTAGTAGGTACTTTATTTAAATAAATGCTTTATAGATTGATTGAAGTTCAGAAGAAGGGAGGTTTGGGAGGGGGGAATACAATGAATTCTGTTCTGAGTTTTGAGATGTCTATAGGATATACAGTTCAGAATGTCCAACAGTCACTTGGTAATGTAGGATTAAAACTCAGAAGAAAGACCTGAGTTGGAAATGTAGATTTGGGAGATATCTCTGCATAGAACTAATAATTAAACTCACGGGGGTTGATGGGGTCATCTAAGAAGAGAGTCTAGAGAAAGAAGAGAGCCCAGGACAAAGCCTTGGGGGTATGCCCATAATATTCACAATAAGATACCCATCCTTAGTAACATATGTAAAGTTGATACATGTTTTCCAGCATAAAACAGTATGGTAGGGAGGAATGAGAACTCCATTAAGAATTAGATATGTCTTATTTTAAATATATCTTGTTCATACATACATTGTTCATACATAGTTGTTTGTAGATTGTTTCCCCCATTAGATTGTAAGCTCCTTGAAGGCAGGGATGGTATTTGCCTTTTCTTTGTATCCCCAATGCTTAGCACAGTGCCTTCAACTTAGCAGGTGCTTAATAAATGCTTGCTGAATTGACTCGACTTGACCTGAGTTCTCTACCTCTTTGCCTCTAATTTGCTATGCTACTATGGGCAAGACACTTAACTGTTCTGGGCGTCAGTTGACTCATATGTAACATTAGAAAATTGAACTCTGCAATCTTTTAAGGCCCCTTCCATCCCTGTGATTCTGTGGTTTCCTGTTCGTCCATGTTAACAGATTTATGATGTTCATTTAAATGACTTTTGAGCAAATTTACTGAGTCAAGAATTGAGGGGGATTAAATGAATGTTCATTATGTTCAACATAATTGAAAAGTATATATTCTCAAGGGAGAAGCATATGTGTGTGTGTGTGTGTGTGTGTGTGTGTATGATGGTATTATTTTAGTGAAGCTAATGAAAGATAAGTATGACATTTAAAGCGTGGCTTAAAATGTGAAAGTACGTTTATGATTTTTGTACCTCTGTCAGACTCAGGGGGCAAAAATATTTTAAGAACACATTCACACGTGGATTTAAAGATTAACATCAATAAAGAATACCAATTTATCATTTCTCTAAAACATGTCTTTATTTTGGTATGTACTTATCTCTAGAACCAATATATTTTGATGATGGTAAATATATTCATGGATAACAATACAGTGATACCTATTTTTATGAATAAGATTTGGGGAGCTTTATCATGGCAGATCATCTCTGAGTTTTGAGTCAAGATAAGGATGAATTTTATATACTCCTTTATTAATTTTTTCAATGTAGTGTTGTAGGTTAAAGTTTGAATTTCGTTAACCTTCTTAACAGTGTCCACCCAACCTCTTGTTGAAGACTTCCATCAATTGAACCCCACCTGCCCACTCATTATAACCACCCTAATTTGGGCCCATATCACCTGTCCCCTAAAAAATTAGAGCAATTTTCTAAACTGGTCTCCCCACATGTAGCCTCTCTAAGCCATATTCCACATAGCTGTGCCAAACTGATAATCCTAAAGCTCAGTGTCTAGTAAGTTTTTCCTCTGTTCATGAAACTTCTGTGGTTTCTGATTGCCCTGTGGTAAATGAAAACATCCTCTTTTCGTCATTTAAAGCCCTTCATAACCAGGCTTGGTCTATCCCACATTCCTCCCCGTCATTCTCTTTGTCCCAGCCAAGCTTTGACAATGGACTTTGTTTGTTGTAGAAACGCCAGTTTAGCTAAATTCAAAGAGGTGCATGACCAGGTTGGCCTTCAGGTAATGATGTTTGGTCACAGTAATTCTTGAAGACTGTCTACTAAGATGCAAAAGTACTCCAGTCTCTATTAGTAGAGAGAGTACCCACACTGCCAAATTCATCATTCCTTGATATATGCTTCCACTAAATACACGAATCTTAGGTAGCATTAAAATAAGTGTATTGTCCAAATCAAGAGAAATAGTAATCCTTGTTGTATTCTGTGAGAGTTAAAGCACAGGAATACTGTATGGAATTTGAGGTGCCGTATTTTAAGAGTGACATGGACAAACTAGAGAAGACAGAGAGAAAGATTGCTAGATTGTTAAGGATTCTGGGTACCACATTTTATGAAGAATGGTTGTAAAAAAATGGAAAATGAAAAAAACTTTGATTAGGTATGTTTGCTACATTTGGATATTTGAAAAGCTGCCTTATGAAATCATCATCAGACGTTCTGTTAATTTTTTAGGAGAAATAGGACTGGTGAGTGAAAGTTATGGGGAGGAAGATTTAAGTTCAGTAATAAAAAAAAAAAACCTTAAAAAAAAAAAGGCTTTTTTATGATTAAAGCCATCAAGCAGTGGAATGGGCTTCCTTACGAATGAAAAGTGTTCAGGCAGCCATTTAAGTTATGAGTGCTTTAGATTGGAGTCTGTAACCTCTAACATCACTTCCAACTTCTAAAATGCTAAGTAGAATGTCTTAATTCAGTTAGTTTTAAATTAAACAGATTAGCTCATTGAAACTTCAGTTTCTTGTTTAATTCGAAGGCATGCTACCTTTTAAGAAATAGTTGTGAGCCAAGGACTTGAGTAATTGAGACTTTTATTCTATATTATACTCTAGGGCCTATTTCGTAGTTAAACCAGTGGTGGCTTATAAGTTTATTTCTGTGCTTCTCAAAGGGATATGCAGTATGTTGTGAGTTTTGCCTGGAGTGTTATGAAATTTTGGATTCCATGTTATTACAGATAAAGTAAAATTTATGAATAAGTGTGTTTAGTACAAATGTTACTTACCCAAAACACACAGTATGGATTTACTGTTACATGTTTGCTTTAACTGCAAAACACACCAGACCCTGAACTAAGAAAGAATTCAAGAAAAACTGCTGCTTTTATTGAAGCAAAACTGCATACCTAAATTTGCTGACTCCTCAGTAGTGTTGCCAATTTAAATGTTCAGTGTATGAGGATTCTTCTTGGAAAGAATACTGTTCCAGGAGTGAAAAAAGTTTGATAACCACTGAGTTGACCTAAATCCAAAACTTACTGTGCTTGAGCCACATTGTATATAGCTCATTGTGATTTCTGTTGCCTTTAACCTTGATCACCTTAGGTCATGAGACATAGTCAGTTATCTTCATGGCTTATCTTGTACAGTAGTAAATAGTTAAAATTTACTGATGTTTTTTCTGTTTTCTAGCTTCTGAAAATGATTTGTTAAATAAACGCTTGAAGCTTGATTATGAAGAAATCACTCCTTGTCTTAAAGATGTAACTTCAGTATGGGAAAAAATGTTAAGTACACCAGGAAGGTCAAAGATTAAGTTTGACATGGAAAAAATGCATTCAGCTGTTGGGCAAGGTAAGTTATATTTGTCTTTGTTATGAGATAAAGTATACCCAAATCTAAACTATCTTTGGAGAAAGGACAGAATCTTGGATCACATTGTCTGGGAAATTTAAATTTCTATGGTGCCCCCGTTTCTCCCCAGGCAAGTTTGTGGTTCATGGGCCTCATCACTTAGGGCCAGATGAGCATGCGCATGGTTCATTCTACCACGTGCTTCTGCAGGAAATCTCATGGTGCCCTGGATGTTGCCATCTCTCTGGCTAGGCAAGGCAGCTCAGAATCTTTCCTTTCATGCTGGGTATCCCAAGGTGGCCATTTTCTGTTCTTGGTAGGAGACACTATGCCCAGGACTAGGCCTTCTCTGCTAAATGCTGATCTGTCTCTTTAGCCAGGATAAGGCAGAAAGGAACTCTAAAAGAGGCTGAGCAGGTATATGAGCTCACTTGTATGGACCACAAAGAGGGGCAGCCAGTGGGCACACCTGTTCTCTCATAGGTAGATATCCCTTATATACCTTCAAACAAGGATTCATGATCTATAATCTCATTAAGCTGATTGGTGAAGTCATCAAATTGAATAGCAATTTACCTGATCAACTCCTTCCCCACTTCCTACCCATGAAAATAGGACTTTTTATGGAGGGTGGGTATGAGTGTGGGTGGGCCTAGTTGGCTCCCTTTAAAGCACTCAAAACTCTGACATTCTTCTAGTTTGGTTGTCAGTCTTGAAAATCAAAATTAATTTTAAATGAGTTCAACTCATACTTCAGACTGCAGAGGACAGTGGAAAGGGTGTGTCCCTGTCCTAACAATTAGTGACCAATTGTGGAACGTATAGGGCCCTAATGGAGAATGGAAAAGCAACAATTAATCCGGCGAACCATTAGCTGAAAGAAAGTGCCCAAGTCAGAGGTCAGACCCAATCTGATAAATGTCACAGGCGTAATTTCATGCAAAGTAAAAAATGACCTTTTGTGACTCAAAGAGTTAGAGGATCTGAGTGTTACTGTGGAGACTTTTTTCCCAGCAGCTTTAAGCTTGACATAGTGACCAGTAGGAAAACTATACTTTAATCCCAATGTCTTCATCAGTTTTAAATCTCATTCCATTTTTTGACCTACTACAACATGCAGGCCCATCTTCTTGAAGGCAGGTAGGCAAATAGGTGAGAGTCCTCATAGAAAGGCTTATTGCATGGGAAGGATTATGGGTATTTTCTTTGCATATTAACGACCTGACATCGTTTGGACAAACATTTTCTAAGTGCCTACTAGGTATAAAGTACTGTGCTAGAATTAGAAGAAATAGAAGGATTAATTTGCCATTATTCCTTACCCTCAAGAAAACTGCTCTTATCTATTACTGCATCTCGGATGAGACCCCTTTTACAATTTGCTTCATTCTATCTCTGGAGCTTTGTAATTTGCTGCATTCTTCATCTGGATCTTTCCCCACCCACAGACACCCCCTTATGGCTTCTGTCTGCTTAAAACTTACTTCTTCCAGAAAAATATTTTAGAATATCCCCATCTTACTCTAGCCCTCAATTCACTTCGCTGAACAGTTAGCTCTTATGGACAACTAAATCTGATCATGTAGATGTCTCTGTTATTTGAGACCTGGATTATTTGGATTTTAAGTGAGTTCTGGTTCCCCCATTACAATGTAAACTCACCGAGTTTGGGGATGTGCTTACAGCTTTCTTTATAACTCTCCTTCCCACCTACTAGAATGATCTGCACAAAGGAAGCTTATTTCACTGACTTTCATTTGGAATTCATGGCCAGTGGAGCTGTGCTGTCTGATTGGGTGCTTTGTAGCAACAGGGTACAGCCCGCTTTGTCCCTGAGGATTCCATACTTTCTCTTTGCCTTAAGAATTACTCTACTTTAGATAAAGTGTAAGTCAACCCAGAATATGTCAATCTATTTTAAAAACAACAACATATGTCAAATATATCCATCATCATATATAAGTTGACACCTACTTGTGTGAAGTTTTATATATTTTTTTAATCTTAAAATGTAAATATATCTCAGATTGTATGTGCCTTCTATCAATGCATACAGCCCTGTTATGTTCTAAAAATAAAAACAATAAGGATGATTTAAGTTGTAAAAGGGAAAATGGTGTCTTTTAACTTGACAGAGTTCCCTTTCATTGCTTCTGGCCTTGTTCCAAAATAGCAGCCTTGGAGGATGAGGTGCCACTTTCCAGGCTGCAAGCCACCCATTTCCTTCTTACTCATGTCCCACTTGCACATAGCAGAAAGGGCAGAGATGCTCTTCAGGCTACTGGCTACTTCAGCAGCAGCAGTCCCAGCCCAGAGTAGAGTGAGGGAAAGGGGAAGGCAGTGCTTCCCAGTTTGGGAGTTGAACTCTAATTTTGAGAAAGATGTATTTTAACCATAAAAAATAAACTCCTGGATCTGCCGTACCCTCATTGACATAACCAGAATGGTTATACAGTGGTATAACCAGGAAGACCCAGATTCAAATCCTACCTCTGACAAATACTAGCTGTGTCACTTCAGGCACTTAACCTCCCTTCTCTGAGCAATTCTCTAAGAGTATAATTTTCACTAAAGGTGCTGATCTGCATTGGTAGAGAGAGTTTCCTTATCTGAGAATTCCCTACATCAATGACATTGCAGTTCTAAGTGTATTATGTGTATTTGGCTCTATATAAAATACATCACCTAGCAAGAAAAACTGGGTGTGGAGAGGGGAGTAGTAGAAGATTTCCCTCATTCCTGGAATTCTTTCTCTCCTTGTGGCACCGACCTCTCAGGGTTGTTGGGAGGATCAAATGAGTTAATATTTATTTGTAAAGCTCTTGAAGCAGTGCCTGTCATATAGTAGGAACCTAAGAAATGCTGGTTTCCTTCCTTCTTTCTTTTCTTTCCTTCCTTCCTTTTTTCTTCCTTTTTTCCTTTCTTCCTTCCATCTTTCCTTCCTTCCTTCTTCCCTCCTTTCCTTCCTTTCTTCCTTTCATTCTCTTCCCTTCCTCACTCCCTCCTATTCCTCTCTCTCTGCCTTTTGGTTTCCCTATCTTTGTAAAATCCCACCTTTTCTCCCTTAATGATAGTGATTCCTTCTGTGATTATTTCTGCTTTATCATGTCATGTATCTGTCTGTCTGTTTGTCTATCTTATATATCTATCTATCTGTCTGTCTGTCTATCTGTCTGTCTGTCTATCTATCTGTCTATCTCTAGGGGGCTCAGTGGATAGAGCACTGGGCCTGGAGTCAGGAAGACCTGAATTCAAATCTGGCCTCACACACTTACTTGCTATGTGATCCTAGGCAAGTCACTTAACCTCTTTTTGCCTTAATCCACTGAAGAATGAAATGGCAAACCATTCCAACATCTTTGCCAAGAAAACCTCACGAACAGTATGGTCCACAGGGTCATGAAGAGTCAGATAAGAGTGAGCAAAAAAGTCTTTCTTTCTCTTGTTTGCGTGTAGTTATTTACATGTTGTCTCCTTCATTTGATTGTAAGCTCCTAGACGGCAGGCCCTGTTTTTGCCTTTCTTTGTGTCCCCAGTGCTTAGCACATTGTAAGTATTTCATAAATGCTTGTTGGTTTGAAAAGCAAAAGAGGAGTGTGGGAAATTTGGATTTTAAGTGAATGTTAACTCCTTGAATATAGGGATTTTTTTTTCCATTTTTGTCTTAGTATTGCTAGTGTCTCCCATGGTGACTTCTTTAATAAAGATCTGTTAAATTTCAGCATTTTGGAAGAAGCATTTACATAATGACATTCTAAGTTAGGGTGCTTGGATAAAGACCTTGTACCTACATTTCATGAAGTGAATTGTATCTCATGAGGATGAAGGAGAATAGTTTGCTCGAACTTGAATATTTCTAAATTGTAGGCAATGACCCTTAATGCTTCGTGAATTAGTTGCTTGGAAATGAATTACCATGAATTAGCAGTGAAAACAAATGTTCTTCTTCAGCTCCTTGGCTACATAATAAATCACTTGCTATAATTTTAACCAGGTCTCACTCATATAACATGATTGTTCTGCATAGTCTTAGCACAAGAAAGTCCATGTGAACACCTGATGGGGTTGGTGATGAGAACCTTCTCCCTCTGTGACAATGAATAGAAAAGAAGAAACTCTAGCTTTAAGAGGCAGTACAACTTGGCAAACTGACCACATTTCCAGGTAGGAAAGAGGAGAGAGGTAGGCTCAGAGAACAGAGCCAAGGAAAAGAGAATTATTGTCCTCATGTTTGCTGGTGTCATTATCACTATTCCATGCCTCTTTGTCTTCTTGGTATTGTTTGAGAGCATCTACCCTCTGCCTTTTTCTGGAGCACAGAAGGGGGCTCCAGCCCTAAATTGAGGGGGGGAAAGGGGAGAGGCAATCTCTCTGCACAACATTGCCCAAGCCTTCGTTATTATTACAAACAAGTTATGGTAAAACTGGAGAATTTTATTTCCCCTTGATGTTTAAATGGAATTTTCCCTTTGCTATTCAGTAATTATATGGGGATGGGTAGGTGGGTCTGTTTTTGTTAAGCTTAATGGAATCTTAAAGGAACTTGGAAGGAACATCTAGTATAATACTCAGTTCCAAGAATCTTTATTTTGTTTTCAACAGAGGACAATGTAGTATATGTATCTCAAGGAGCCTACCACAAAATTTGGTGTATAAATCTTCCTTTTAACCTTTAAAAAATATCCCTCCAATTTAAGGCCAATTTATATGTGGAATTACATTTGATGGAGGTCATACCTTAAATTTTCTACAGTGAAATAATAAGTTTACAGGAATTTTGCTTGAGTATCATCTTGTACTCATTCTTTGCTATTTTTATTACTCAGGTTACCATCATTTTTAAAGACATTATAATAATAGAGGTCCCATAAACATAATATAGTCTTTCCTTGTCATTTTTATACCAACATTGAGCACTTACCACAGTCAGGTATCAGGGAATATCTCAAGATTATCATCTCTTCTCCTTGTCCCGCTTGTCTCAACTCTCCCCCTATTTCCAGTCCATCCGTGACATCACTTCCAGATTGATATTCCTGAAGCACAGCCATGATCAGAAACTTTCCATAGTCACTCCTTTGCCTACTGAATAATCCAGATTGTTTTTAAGTATCACATTTTATGTACTCTATTATAGGGTTTCACCCTAACTTTCTGGAATAATCTGTCCCAGCCACTGCTCCCTTCTGTTCCCTGCTTGCAGTTTGCAAATGCACTTTGGTCTTCCTTACCTCCATCTTTCTGTACAGGTATTCCCTTTTTCAAGGAGAATCATCCCGTCTCTCTGCCTTTCAGAATCCTACCCATTCGTCACGCCTCAGTGCCAAGGCATATTTCTACTCCAAAGGCTTCCCTGTTCACCCCTAGCTAGAAATGAGCTTTTCCTCCTCCCTGGGAATCTTCTAGTATCTTGTTCTGTCTTTATAATACTTACCACATGCTTCCTTGAGTGGTAGAGAAATAGACTGTAATTGAAGTAGCATTGGACTCAAAGGTAGAAAACTTGCTTTCAGTATTTTAGATCAGGACTTCTGAAATTGGGGTCAGTTCGCACACTTCTAGGGCTTGGTGTTCCTGATAGGTGTAATTTTGTGCTTCTATGATGTGCTGGGCTTTGTGCTAAGCACTGTTCTGACTTGGTGTACGTTTGGAAATGGCAGTCATCTTCTGCTGTAGACACCCTTGTCACAAGATAGCTGAGCCTGGGCAAGTGACGTAACGTCTCTGGGCCTCAGTTTTCTCATCTGTGAAGTAGGGAGACTAATTGAACTACCTACCCCATATTGTTGTAAGGTAATGTAGTTTTGCAAACTGAAAAGTTATATATTAATGCAAGGACCTGTGGTTGATTATTATTATGGCTAGGGATGAGGAGTAATAACAATAGGATTTGCTGCCAGTCCACAAGCATTTATGAAGCATCTGTTATGTACCAGGCACTGAGGACCCAAAGTGAAAAATGAAACAATCCCTGACCTGAAGGAAATTCCATTCCATTGGGCAGACAGAGTGGAGGAATAGACAGCATGCACATTTAAACAAAATAGATGCAAGGTAAAGGGCAGGGATGCCAGCAACTGTGGGGATCAGAAAAGGCTTCATAGAAAAGTCCTTGAGCTGAGTTTTAAAGAAATCTGGGGACTGTTAACAGGTATGGTTGGAGTAGTTGGAGTAGGAGTGCATTCCAAGCATAGGGGTGCAGCCAGAGCACAGGGACCGAGATGGGGAGTGGAATCGGGGAATGTGCCGTTGGTGCCCGGCATGGTACCTTCGTGTGTAGCAGGCTCTTGAGAAACGGTTGAGCTCATCTTAATGTTGTGTGGTTATTTATGATTGTCTCATTCCTCTTACACTCCTCCACTGCTGTTGTGAAGTGCTCAGTGGCCAGCACTGTGTGGTCTTCAAGTGCCCAATAGAAAGAAGGCATTTTTATTTAGGAGAATAATGCCACCACATTTTGGTTCCTTCTCCTTTATTGATGATCGCTATTCTGACTACTCATTAATAACATGTTGGATCCTATTGTATGTTGCTGTTAAGTCATTTGTGTTGTGTCCAACTCTTATTGACCCCATTTAGGGTTTTCTTGGCAGAGAGATACTGAAGTGGTTTGCTATTTCCTTCTCTAGCTCATTTTACAGATGAGAAACAGGCAAACAGGGTAAAGTGACTTATCTAGGGTCACATAGCTACTAAGTGTCTGAGGCTGGATTTTAACTCAGGCCTTCCTGACTCTAGGCCTGGTATCCTATACACTGCACCATCTGGCTGTTCCCATTGTGTATTATCTGACAGTTATTCTTAAAATGTTATATTCTGTAATGTCTCTGTTATCTGCCTGATTTTTTTAAAGGAGTACCTCGTCATCACCGTGGTGAAATATGGAAATTCTTAGCAGAGCAATACCACTTGAAACACCAGTTTCCAAGTAGTAAACAGCAGCCAAAGGATATTCCATATAAAGAACTCTTAAAACAGCTAACCTCCCACCAGCATTCAATTCTTATTGACCTAGGTAAGTCCACAACATTAATTTGAAATGAAAATTGAAGTTTCCTTCCTTTGGAAAATATACGTTGCCTGGAACACCTTTGGACTTTTTAATGATGTTACTTTATGTCTCACGATAAAATTTTAGTGCAGTAGCTTTTAATTAAAATGGTACTGGAAAGTAAGAACTTACTTAGTCTTGTTCAGGTACTTAAAATGTCCAGATTTTAAATGGACAGTTGGTTGTGCTTCTTTGCATAGAGGAGGAAATAATTTGCATATAAGTTTCAGTGTGCGTTTCGCAGATTTGAGATATTTAGAAAGGGACTAGCTTTCTTGTGAACACCTTATTGAATGAATGCATGAATCTCTCAATTCAGATAATTTTTTTTTCTGATTTGAAACATTAGAATCTCACCTCCACCCCCCTAAAATAAAACTAAAATATGCTCGTGCTGGCGGGGAACTTATGAAGAGTACATTGATGATAGATAGTACAGGATAATATGGATAAGACATCCCTTCTTATAAATTAGATGCAAAGACCTTCTAGTTTGCTAAACACGCAGTGAAGTTATATTATGTGCACTTTAATAAAGGAACTATGTCATCTTCATATTTCAGTACCTATCATGAATGTTGTATGTACTTAGGATGTGTTTATAGACTATTTTAAAAATTATGTTATTTATATAATAATGATTAACCTTAGTAAATCAAATCATAATTTGGTTTTAGACACAGTTGAAAATTAAATAAAAATTCATAATGTTTATGAAACCTTTACCCTTTTTTGAATTGTAGAGACTCCATACTGAGGGAAATTCAAATAAGAATGCTTTTATAAGAAATAATAAACTATATCCTCCTGGTAAATAATAGAAATCACACTTTTTACTTACTAAGTGTGGATGTACTTTCTGAGATCAGCTCAGTGTCTTAATGCATGCTTCTTTAAATTTTTTTTTTCTTGAGCAAAACTGTTTTTTCTCCCTATCACCCTCTCATTAGAGAGGAAAAAAAAAAAGACAAAACCTTTTAAGCAAATATTCGTAGTCAAGCAAAACTAATTCCCATACCTTGCCCAAAAAATGTTTTACCGTACCCTGAGTCCATCATCTCCCCGTCCAGGGGGGATAGTATGTTTTTGTCATAGGTCCTCTGAAGTTATGGATGGTCATTATGTTGATCAGAGTTTCTGAGTCTTTTGAGGTTGTTTTCATCCTGGTTCTATTTACTTTATTCTTTCAGTTCATATAAATCTTGCTGGGTTTCTTTGAAACCTTTTCTTTCATCATGTCTTATTGCACAATAACATTCCATTATGCTCATGTATTATAATTTTTTCAACCAATCTCCAGTTAACAGGGAGAGAGAGGTGGGGTAGGGTACAGAATCTTTAGTTTCCATTTCCTTGCCATTGTGAAAAATAAGAGCTGTTATAAAAATTTTTTGTACTTGTGGGTCCTTTTCTTCTTTCAGTGATAGGCCTAGTAGTGGTTTTATTGGGTCAGGGAATATGCATATTTCTGTGACTTTGGGGATACAAGTTTAAAATTATTAGGCCTTTTTTTTTTAGGTGACTTGTTTTGTTAAAATGGCATTCATTGATATACAAAGATGGCCACGCCCAGAATTCCTTTATCACAGCTTCTTAAATTTTCTTGATGTCACTGTATAAGTAAAAGTGTGTCCTTCAGATTCTGCTTTCTTGGTATTGGTTGAAATATGATTATCTTAAAATAATGAACAGTGAAATATAGATGAGGTGAAATACTTTGAACAAATAATGTATTCTAGTTCTTTTTGGACATAAATTTCAGATTTATCTTCATCCTCATTTATTTTTTTGAATATGTCTTTTAACTTCCCTTTCCACTAAAAAAAATGATGATGTTTCACTTTAATAAAAGTGTATAGCTAGACTAATGAAAAGGAGTTTCTGAAATTGGAGCTTTTAGGAATAGATAGGTAGCAGTAGTAAGAAAAGCCAGACAGTTGAAGAAGGAAAATATATGACGGATTATATACTAAATCAGTCTGCTGGCAGACGCTTGTCCTCTTGCCAAATTATGTCAAGGGAGTAAAATTCTCGTATAGGTCACTACAAGTTTATAGAGGAGCTCATAAAGCTCTGAATTATTCATGCCCTGCTGGAAACCTATTACAGATTAAAATGATCACTGTTTAAATGTTTGATAGCCGTTGGATACATGTAGTGTTCAGAAGAAGAGAAGGGATGGTTTCAGTGTCCTCTGCCCTTGTCAGACTTCAAATGGAACATCTGAATGCCCCTTTCTAGACAAGCTGGAGCGTGACTGCCCCATGAGGGCAACCAGGATGGCAAATGGCCTGGAAGAAACCCCACAGAAGGCTCCTGGGAGGAAAGGGAAGGAGCTAAGGAAACACCAAAGAGGGAAAGACTTGACAGGGGCTGTCTTCAAGTGCTTGAGGGTCTGTCGTGTGGAGGAGGAGTATAAACTCGTTCTTGGACATAACTGGGAGCAAATGATGGAAGTGACAGAAGAGCGGATCTCAGCTCAAAGCTGGGAACTGTGTCCTTGCAATTGTAGCGATTGGAATGAAATGGGCTTCCTGGGGAGAAGCTAAGCTCCTTGAGGGCAGGGGCTAGTTCTCTACACAGCAGTGAGCACAGTACCTGGCACATAGGAGGAGGAGAAAAGAGTAGTAGTAGGAATAGGTGGAGGAGGAGGAGTATTAGTAGGAAGAAGAGGGAGGAATATGAGTAGAAGGAATAGGAGGAGGAGGAGGAATAAGAAGAAGAAGAGGAGTCGGTAGTAGGAATATTAGTAGTAGGAATAAGAGGAGGAGGAGGAGTGGAATTAATAGTATCAGGAGAAGGAAGAGGAAGAGTAATAGTGGTAGGAATAGTAGGAGGAGAAAGGAAGAATAGTAGGAGGAATATTAATAGAAGGAATAGGAGGAGGAGGAATAAGAAAAAGAGCAGGGGTATTAGTAGTAGGAATAGAAGGAGGAAGTAGTAGTAGGAGTAGGAAGAGTAGGAAGAAGAAAAGTAGGAGTGGTAAGAGTAGGAGGAGGATGAGTAGAAGTAAGAGGAATAAAAGTGGGAGTAGGAAGCATAATAGCTACCTTTTGTATGGCGAGTCAAGGTTATAAGGTGCTTTACAATCATTATTTCATTTCTGATCCTCACAACAGCCCCGGGAGGTAGGTCTTATTATTGTCCCCATTTTCTGGATGAGGAAACAGGCAGACTGAGGTAAAGTGACTTGCTCAAGGTTACAGGACTGTTAAGTGTCTTTGGCACTTTTCGAACTTAGGTCTTCCTGATTCCAGATCCGTTGCTCTATCCACTGGGATGCTTAGCTGCTTAACAGACAATCAGTATGCATTTGAAAGTGCCTCCTTTTGCCAGGCATGTTAGGGGCCTGGGATGCGATGATAAAAAGAAATCCCTGCCTTCAAGGACCTCACATTCTTTTGGGGAAGACTCGGTAGATACATATTTATACAGACCGTGTGCAGAGTAGATAGATAATCGTTTTTGGAGGGATGACACTGCAGTTAGAGGCTGAGGAGAAGCTTTATGTAGAAGGCGATGCTTAACTAAGTCTTGAAGGAAAACAAAGGATTTATAATAAAGGCTTGTTGAATTGAATTCAGAAAAACTCCCATATTAATTGTTGTCTTTCCCATGGGATGTCCAGTAGCCACTCCATACTGCCAGGTAGTCCTTAAAATAGCCGTGGCTATTTGAGTAATGTCCAGAGAAAAAGCAGCCACCCAGAGGGCCTGTTCTTAGTAACTGTTGCTACCCCTTGGGTGCTGGGTGGTAGTAGATGGTCTCTGCCATAGGCAGGTACGAGTTTAAATGCCAATCTCCTACAAGCATCTAGTGACCCGGGACAATTCCTAGGTGACAGTAAGCCCTCAGAGCTTCCAAACTGCCCCTCTTATTCATTCATTCATTCATTTATTTACTTACTTACTTATTTATGGCTAGGCAGTGGGGTTAAGTGACTTGCCCAGGGTCACACAGCTAGTAAGTGTATGTGTGTGAGACTGGATTTGAACTCAGGTCCTCGTGAATCCAGGGCCAGTACTCTATCCACTGTGCCACCCAGCTGCCCCCACCCCTCTTATTTAAAAGCCAAACTTGGAATCTGACTCAACCATATCTTTATGAGGCACTAATTTTGTTCCCGGAATTTTCATTTTGAAATTTTTGACGAGCAGAGCACTGGCATTGATTGATGGTGGTTCTGCTAGATGGCAGCCCAAAATAAATGATGCAAAGTTGACATCAGTGTGGCCCACTAACCGTTAGGAAAAAGAAAGATTTCGTGAGTTGGCAATAGGCTGTGTTTGTTAATGTGATGAGTAATAGGACAAATGACATCATGTTCCTCTAATATGAAATGAAGCAGGAGATAGATTGAGAATAAGAGGCTGAAAAGGAGTGAGTACAGCAAGTTTCTACATTTTTAGAGCTAAATAGGGGAGAGGGAGGAAATGCATTTCCTCTATTCCAGATATTTTATTTCAATATATCTCCTGTTTTCCGTAGGGAGAGTTATTTTTGGGTCTTATATATATTTCATTACTTTTCCCTGAAAGGGAGGAGGAGGAGGAGGAAAAAAAAAAAAACATCACACACAGTGAGTTGACTAAATAGTGAGAGAGTTTATCAGTTCTCCTAACTGTGTGTGTCCCATCTGGGAAGTGTTTGTTCTCCAGTTATTAGAAGCCACTGAGAGTCGCAGCTGTGACTGACAGCAGCCTTTCCTCCACTTGGCACGTGATCTGGGCAGGCCTGTGATTCAGCCTGTTTTGTTTCATAACCTCCTTTGCTCTATTGTTTGCTCAGTCCCTTGACCTACTCCTGAAAGCCCCTGTTCTAGCCGTCCCTCTCTGATAGCTGGAGCTTCCTTCCCAGACACCTGGCCTTTCCCCAGTGCCCACAGTCAGGTTCATCCCCCACAGCCACTTGGAGACTCTCCTAAATCGCCTGGCTTCTGACCTCCCTTTAAGGATGCTCCCTAA